GCTCACCTATGTTAGACCCTTTGACAAGCAATATTCTAATGAAAATGAGAACATATACATTATTCCATATTGTTACATGTTTTAGAAAATGTTTTGAAGTTGTGGTGCATATAAAAATAAATCTTTTTCAGAAGAACATTGGCTCTTTTTAATATTTTTTTCCCCAAGGAATTTCTAAAAGATCAGAACAGTAAAATTTACACTTTTTAGAATTAATTAGACGATAACTCTTTTGTAGTCAAAATAAAATACTCTGTAAGAGTTAATATATAAACTCTTGACACCTAGTTAGTGTTAATGAGTGTTAAATTTTCAACTCCAGGCAGATTTGATATTTAACACTAAATCAGAGTTAATGTACCAACTCTCCAAAAAGAGTTAAATTAACACTCACTGGTGTGGACCCATATAGACACTTTAATAGTGTTGAAATCAAATCTGACAGTGTTAATTTGGACATGCTGGATTTGCTGTGCAGTCTCTAGTCAAAATGCCCGGGCCAATTTTTTGTCCCAGTCCAGCCCTGATTACAATATTTTTTCCTGCATTCAACTGCACATGCCTTGTTAGCTAACCTATGCTTGAGTTTACCAACACTTATGATTAATACAAATGAACCACACATTTCTAATGCAGGCAAGGTTTTTTTTAAAATTTTTTACATCATTAAGCTCTTGTATGCTACATAAAACATCGGTGGCAAACTTCATGTTACTTGCCTAGTATATAAAAGTATAGTTCATGTTTCCTTAGTGTTTAAAATTAGATCACATTTTCAGTGATGAACATTAAATTTAACAATCGAACAGCAGTACATAGTCTGCAGAAGGTGTCAAAAACCACAACCTACACAGGTAACCCACAAATGCAACCTACTGTACTCTTTTTCTTTGTCTCCTCCTCACTAATGTTGTAATCACTATGTTGTAGAAGCCATGAAGCAGTGGTCCTTCTGTTTCTCCACACCCAAAGGCACAGATATGAGGGCTGCTGCTACGTTGGTGGACCTGTGCAGATGTCCTCATACAATGACCTAGCACATATATGATCCCGGAGGAGCTGGACTACCTGCGGGCATCAACAAGCAAAGTGGCTAAAATCCAAACAAGAGAATTATCCATCTGGAGTGAAAATGAGATAGAACAATGGTCTTTGCTAATTTGTGTCTTATACTACAGTGTAGTATTAGATGAATTGATTTAAAAAAATAATCACAAAAATTTGAAAAAAATGAGGATTGGTATCTTCTTTGATTTCAGAGAAATAAAGCAGTTTTAATTCAAATATTGAAATAGAGGAACAATGGCATTAACAAGATTGTAATGTTTACAAAAAACCCTGACAACAAAATTTTTATTTCAAAGAGTTGTTTTGTGATTAGGAAACTGTGGGTGAGAGAACTGAATTTGGTGGAAGTACAGTTTTTGACAGCAAAGTTGTTGTTTTTTTTAAATAATAAAAAACGTTTTTACTTTAACTTAACGGGGTGTGACTGATAGGACATCACTGACTTGTGAACTGGTTTTGGTGGTATTACACTTCATGAAAGCCTTTGTTGAGCCACTTGAAAAAAAAAGAAATAACTAACACAGGAAACAAAACAAGAACAGTTTCTAAAATCTCATCGCATGAGCAGTCTACAAGTTTCCCACCACACAGAG